AAGGACAGAGTGGACATGGCACTCAGTGCCCTGGTCTAACATGGTGGCCACACATCGGCCCGGTATCTCAGACCTCTTTCCGCACCGATCTCACCAACCCGTTCCCGCGGGGGGGGGGCAAGGGGAACAACCGCGGCTCGGGACCCGCTCCGCTGCGGGCGCGGCTGCGCGGCGGCGGCGCCGCCTCTCCCGGAGCAGCGGCCCGGGGCGGGCCGGGCCCGCCGCGCGTCCTTCCGGCGCCGGGCGCGCAGCCGCGGCCGCGCGTCCCGCATTGGCGGCGGCGGCCTCGTGCGATGGTGACGCCGTAGGGCCGGAGGAGGCGGCGGCCGGGCCGGGCGGGCGGCGGCGGCGGCGGCGGCGGCGGCGGAGGCAGCGGCGGCCGCGGGACGGGGGCGGCGGTGGCAGCACCTCCGCCGGCCGTTGCCAGGTGAGCGAGCGCCGGGGAGCCGCGGCCCCGCTCGGCTCCGCGGGGTGTGCGCGGCCCGGCCGCCGCCCGCGGGGCCGGGGATCCCCGCCCGGGCTGTGCGGCCGCTGTGCGGGGCGGCGGGAGGGGAGGGAGCGCGGCGGGGCCGGCCGGGGCTGGCGGGGCCGGCGGCGGAGCCGGGGTGCCGTGGCCGGGAGGCGGCGGAGGCGCTGCCCGGGCCGGGCCGGGCCGGGTTAGGGCCTGCGGGCGGCGGCCGGGGCGGCGAGCGGAGCCTGCGGGCAGCGGGTTCCGTCTGGGGCACGGCGGCATCGCCCAGTGCAGCAGGAGGCTTTAGGCCAGCGGAGCGCTCTAAGTGGGTCAAGAGCACCGTAAGTGGGTCTTGTTTATTGCCTTCCGTGCACTTGTTGCTTGTCAGGGCAGGGAAATCTGCTGCTGCGCCTGAAATCTTCTTACGGAGGCAATATAAATAATAATTCTTCTGCTTGCACAGTACGAGAACCTTTTTTTTGCCAGCAGAGTGTTTTTAAGTGCATACGTCTATAAACACTGCAGTTACCAACAGTAGATAACGTAATATAAATACTTGATATTAGGGTAACCACAGTTTGGATATTCTCAAGTGGCATCAGAAGAAACTTTAAAAAAAACTTTTTGCTGTTGTTGTTTTTTTTTTCTCGAGAGAGTCAGGTATTCATCTCTTGTTTGCTTGCGATGAACAACAAAGACATTGAAACATATGGTAATCGCCTGGAAGACAAAGAAGAGATGACAGCTGCTGTTCTTTGCTGGGGTTTTCAAGCACTGTTAGTTTCTTTTTGTGTTTGTCTTAGCCTTACAAGTCAGTTGATTTTGTGGCTTCAGTGGGTGTGTGGGCATTTGTTTTGAGAAAACCATTAATATTAAATTATAACTTCCTTTTTGTCATACGGGCTTTGTCGCTTTGTTTATGTAAACGATCATGCACTTGTCACACAGCAGAAAAGCTTTTAGATGTTACCCCTCGTTTAAAGAAACTTTGTGTTCTTCCTGCAGCATTGAAGTTTTTTCAGGCAGCTGAATTGTCTTATGTATCTTTAAAAATTGATTGAATTTTATGAAACTGGCTAGGCCCTCTGGGCAAACCCTTCTTGGCATAATCTGTTTTCAAGAGTTGATGTCTTAGAGTGTAATTTAAACTCTTGTTTTTTACTCCCTTGCTGTAGTCAGTGTCAGGGAGTATTGAATTTCTGGCTCCATATTCTAGCTCTGGTCTTCACAGGCCTGTTCTGGAAGAGAAGAGCTGCACAGCACTCTCAGAATTGTTGTAAAAGTCCTCAGATTTCAGAGGCCTTTTTGTAGTATTTCAGTGTGGAGGTGCTTGTTTGCTGCAGAACCTTATTGAGACTACTTCAGATTTGTAGTAGCTGCTGTAACAGAGGAAAATATGTTTGTGTTCAACAGAAGTAGGCGTTGTGTCATGGAGTTATGGGTGCAGCACAATCATGAAACATGGCCAGTTCTCCTTGTTATCTTTGGCTATGACCTAGCCTTGTTTATGGGAGAAAGGAAGTTTGTGTTTTGAGTTAGTTTTTTTCTTTTCCTGTAGGGTTGCCAGCCAGTTGCAGTTAAGAAGATTTCATGCTGTGGTTTTTGCATTATAGGGATAACTTATTGTTAATGTGTGAGCCTTCATCTGTTTTATGACACTTAAGCCTATATGAAGGCTATAAGTGTGTGTTAAGTAGGCAACTTAAAAGGTTGTTGTTGTGTTGGAAGTGTAAGATCAGTTGATAAAATACAGAAATTATTCCCTTGTCTGAGCTGACAGCTAAATATGGGTGTGAATAAGGTTGTTGGCAGCTTTGCTGTGAAAGCCATGGAGGATAGTTGCTAATGTGGAAAACTGAATCAGAATAAGTAATGGAGGAGCTAAAAGCTGCGTCCCAACCCAGCCCAGGTTTTAAAAATGATGCTCTCTGAGCGTAAATCAGATATGAAAACATAATGTGGTGTGAAGGACAAGAGTGTATTTTTGGTGTACTTCTTCAAGCAAAACCTTTCATGATGAAATTTCTCCAACGGGTTCTTATGTATTGTATGTATATTCTCAAATATGGATTTAAAATGCCATGGGTATAGGAGCTTAAATTGTCTTAAAGAGACAAGAGAGCCAGACCTGTGAGGCTTTCCATCACCCCCTTACCCCAGTCTTTGACCTAATGGAGTGGGATTGGTTGGAGTTGGTGCTTTTGAGCTGGTGACATTGCTACAAGTTTGGCAAGTGGCTAGTGACCAGTGGTTTTGGCAATGTGGGTGAGATTCAAACTGGAAGCCTGACTCCTGGACGCAGGATTAGAAGGCTGGGCTTTGGAAAGCTTGTTCTTGCTCTGGGCAAGGGTTTCTGTAGATCTGTGATGAAGGAAAATTAATGGGAATTGGCGGGGCATGTAATGCCAGTGATTTTAATGCTTGGATCTCTGCTGTTGTCTCATGTCTTCAGTTGCGTGTTCAAGGAGCTGTGTCAAGCATTCATGTATGAAAGATACTCAATATTAGGCACTAAAAATTTTGCAAGTTTTACAGTTTGGGATTGCATAACCATATTGTCCAAGACACTGTGCAAAGCAACAAGGCTTGCTTTCGCCAGTGGACATGATATTTGTGCATGATGAAAATCTTGGTAAGGAAACTTCAGGAGGTCGTTGGATTATTATTACATCAGCAATTCAAATCCTTGAACAGAAGTAGTTCTGAAATGGAAATAGCCGTTTGGAGTATTTATGATTTGAAAGTGTCTGTCTGAGTCATTCAGAGAATTTTCTGACAGACGGCATTGGTAGATTTTGAAAAGACGTTGCACAAGATAATGATGGTGATTATGAAAACGTATTTGGGACAGTGTTTAAGGGGAGGACTATTATTTTAAACTATTGTTTTCTGATAGAACTTGTTTTAAATGCCTTGTCTTTTTACAAGTATTTCAGCTGGTTGTGCTTAACATGATGACTGTCTGCTTCTGCTTTTTAAAGCAGAAACTTGTCTGTTTGTCAAGACAAGTGTAACACAGAAACTGGTTTTCAAAACTTAAGATTATGGAAACAAATAAGATGCTAGTTCTGATTCTTCAGGAAACTGATTTCCGAAGACATTATTAACGTTCATTTATTTATTTGAATATGTTCCTACCACTGGAACATTTGACTTTTGAAGTAGGATGTTGCAGGTCAGTGTGTAAGCTAATAAGAAGCAGGAGGTGAGTTGTTTTCACATAGTTCCTGTTGCAGAACTTCGAAGAGAACAACCTCCTGCCTTTTGTGTTGTGGAGTGAGGGATGCAGACTTTTACTATCAAGTAACTGTAAAACTGAACTTACCCAGTGATTTCATATATTTTCTGGAAAGTTTATCCCAATGGTTTGACGTAAAAATTAGTCCAATTTGATGATGAACCTCAAGGTTCCCTTTCAGGACAGGGTTGACAGACTTTGTGTTTCCAGAGGGCTGCTCACCACATGGAGATGGGGCAGCTGGTGTGGTGATAAGCAGGCAGCCTCTCCCAGGAAAGGAGGTGCCACACAGCTTATGCTTGCTACTTGATGTGAGAAATAGCAAGGAACTTGAAATGAGTTGGCAAAATTAAGGTGCTTAGAAATATGAAAAGCAAATATTTTATGTCTAAATAGCATTTTGCTTTCTGATTTAACGTGATTACTCACGTATTCTGGAGTTGCATGTCTCTGCTGCTCTGTTGGTGGAGGAGAGGGTCTCTTTTTCTGACCAGGCAGGATTCTTTGGGCTTCTGTGAACTGCATGTGTGTCAGTGATTTTGGGACATCTCAGAGCTGTCCTGTGGTTAAATTGACTGCAGAAAGGGGTCTTCAGGCATAGGGGTGGATGTAAATTTCACAGGACACATAATTGTTAGTGTGGAAAAATGTTCTGCATGGTTCAGATGGATTTCAATAGCTGTGAAAATGCAATGGAGTTTGCTGGGATGTGCCAGCTGCTGTAGCACTGTGAACAGGACTAATTAAGCCCTTGTGAGAACAGAAAATAGTCAGGCACTATTTACAGGAGGAAAGTGTTGGAACAGGCAGAGCTGTAATCATTGGCTCTGAGGTACCTTTAGGCAGCAGTAGGCAAGAGAGGAGACAATTTACTTGCAGAATGGGCTGAAAGTCATATCTGAATATTCCAAGTGGGTATTTCAGTGCTCTGCCAGCACATTTAAGTGCATTGCAAACATGCTACGGGAAAGGCTACTTGTTTTTTTTTTTCCCTTGTTTTATTCTCTTCTTCCAGCTGGTATTTTATCTCAAAATGCTAAACGTTCGTGTTTCTCACTTAATGATGAAAAGCAAAGGTACACCAGATAGATCTAGATGTCATTATGCTACAATGTTGCCTGCATTTGAATAGATCCTGTAAGAGTCTAGCTCGATGCCAAAGAGGTTTGTTGTTGTGGAATGGTTGTTTTTCTAAGAGTATCTGTGATCATCTGCATGTATTCAGAGATAAGGTGTCACTAGACTGCTTTATCACAAGTACACCAAAGCCATTTCGCATATCTGTTCATCCAGTTTTCCTTTTTCTCAACCAAATCAAATGCTCTTTTTCTCCAACATGTAGGTTCCATCTGCTTAGAGGGTTGCAGAGGCTGCCATTGTTTGTGTAAAGCCAAGGTCAATTGTGCTGTTCTGTTTGGGTGTAGAGGATGGCAATTTATGTGCTGTGGAATTTTTTTAGATCACTGGATGTGTTAAGCAGTTCTACAACGTCTAGATAAGGGTCATTTTGCTGGTAGGAGCCTTTAGTGGCCTTTTTTGTGTTTTAGTGACAACATTCTGGCGAGGTTCCTGTTTTAGCTCCTTACTGATGAATGTTTTTTACTTGTCAAGTTTGATTTTTCTCAAAATGCTGTCATAAGTGTGTGTTAGTAAATTGGATGTTTATGGATATTTGAGTAACAGGCTGTTCCTGGAGGGAATGAGCCTTGGGCCTTCCTGCTGTATGAAGTATTCACGTAATTCTGCAGACTTCATTAAAGACACTTACTTTTACTCCTTTGATTTCTTTTTCAAACTATTTGGTAGGTGATACTAGATTTTGGGAAATGTAACCATGATAAGGACTTCAAGATCACATATATCTGTACATTGTTGCTGGTTTTTGTAAAATGCAGAGCTTGTGATGGAAATTAGATAGTTGAATAGAAGCAGTAAAAGCTGTCTTTTGAAAGCAAATCCAACTGGCTACTTGAATGAAATCTGAATACTAAAATTCCTTTAGCTGGTGGTAAAATTCTGTAAGTTAATCTTTAACTCTTGCTTGTACTAGAAACATATCTATGTCCCCCAGACAGCTGTGGGAGCTGTTTGAAAAAGCCATGCAGTGCAAAGAGAAGTATAGCTGAGCCTGGCTACATCCCAGTCCTGAGAGTCCTGGCAGGCTTGTAGCTGCAGGGAAAGGGATTTCAGCATTTGGAACAAGGAACAAGGAAGTGGCTGGCTAGTAGGACTTGGGATGAAGAGTCACATGCATTTCAGCATCTCTCAGCTGACAGCTTAGGTATGGTTTCGTCATGAAGAATTCTGCTTTTCCTGGTGGACTGCTCCTGAGACTGAGCAGTTGCCTGGTCTAAACTGAAGGATTCACTTTTTCTGTTTTCTTCCCTAAAGAAGAAAAGTAAAACACATAAATTAAATTTATGTGTTGGTCTCCATGGCTGGTGGAAATCGTGGGCATGTAGACATATACTAAAGCTGCAGAGGTAAGTTAGTGGTGGTGCAGTCTGGTACTTTCAGACCTTTTGAGATGATACAGCCAATTTGCTCCTGAAGAGCAATGTGCTTTGCAAATTGTGTTAGTTTAAGAATTATTTGTGTGTCTGTGTATTTCCCAGAATGGCATATGGCATTGCAAGGCTGGTCACAGCAATGTTCTGCTGTTCTCAATATTAATCTTTTAGGCAAATAGTTTTTTGTTTTAATGGAACATGATTGTAGAAATAGAAGTAAGAGTCTATTCATAATTTTTATTAAAGTAACTGTGTGACAAAGTGCCAACTATTGGCTTTCTGCCTGCTGTACCTTCAGTGGGGAACAAAATGGATTATTTTCTGAGGTGAGTGTTCTGAGAGTTGAGAAAAGCATAACAAAGTCAACAAAAGCTTTACTTAGTGGTTTTCTGACCCTTATGTATTCCAAGCTAGAAGGAGGATGCTGAAAAAGGCTTGTGTCATGGTTATCTTAATGTCTGTGGTTAAGTGCAACTGCTCTTTGACTTCCTGCTCTGTGACGTTTTAATAATTGGCAACCATGTGAAATCTGCAGCATTACAAAATTAGTTCAATAATAGATGTTTTATAAAAATCCTTTCCTTTTCACGAGCTTCACTAATGCAGGGAAGGAAGTTGCTAGGTAGCTTAGACTTGATTTGTAAGGTATTTGTCAAGGGGCAATTTTCAAATGCATTTTTGATATAGAAGAGGAAATTTAAATATACATTTGATATTATTTAAATACAAATATATACCAATTATTTGTTCTCTTTTTAGATCATCCCCCAGAAACACAGAGTATAATTTGCTGCAGCCTCCTTTCTCTCTGTTAGGGTTTTTTGTAAGTGTTTATTCTGGCATTCTTATATCAACCAGGACTGTAAAGAAAGAAGGTCAGTAATAAAATGTTAAAACTTTCTGGGTTACAAAAGAAATCTTTGATTCAGTGGGAAGTGGCTTGTTGCTAAAGTATCTGAGGAGGTGTCTCTTGGTTTTAGTTACTTTGTCTGTAAAACTCTTCTAATTTAGCTTTGAACCTATGCTCTAGAGTTTAAGGGTAGGATGAATTCTGCCTTGAAGGCAAACTCAATTTTAAGTTCAGCTTATCCCTGATGGACAGCAAGAGAAGCTGACCAAGTTTCAGAGCCCTGGCATAGATGTTTGTGTCCCAAGCACCCAAGCAGCACATGATGCTGTTGAAAATGCCAGTTGTGTCAACTGACTTGGAAGGACTCCAGGGTAGGGGTCAGTGAGGGCAAAGGGAGGTGATGTACAAGACTGTCTGAGATAATACTCCACGATCTCAAATGCTCAGATAAGGTCAGGATTGATGTAGCAGTACAGCTCTGCAGGACTGTGAGTAACCGGGGCACACGTTGGGTTGGGAGCAGCAGAGTCTTAAAATGCTGTTGGAAAAGTGGTACAAGATGCTCTCAAAGCACATTAGTTTTTCATTCCTTCGTGCAAGCCCTTTCCAGCTGACTTTTTCTGGATTGGTTAACTGGATCAAACGGCCCCTTGTTACACATCACAGTAGTCATTGTGAGAAGCAAAGCATGATCGCAGAACCCATGACTGTTTTCCTCTGAAAAGTCATGTCTTGGCTCTGCTTCAATAGTTCATTATTATACAAGTGCCTGAGGGCTTATCTGCCTGCAAGACTCACATGAGTCTTTTCTGTAGGCTAAGGCCATCCTCGAAAAGGCACAATTCCACATTCCTGTTCTTTTAGCAGTAGGTGTGATGTGTCCAGTAGTTCTTGTACTACCACCTAAAATCACATTACATTTTGATTGACTGTCACATGTAGACATTAAAACTTCCTGAAAGCTCAGTGCTTCCTTCTTGAAGATCTTGTTTTCAGGTAACACTTTCTCATTTCAAGCTGAAGGGACTCATGAATTGGACAGTAATGGAAGTAATGTCTTTGTAATAAATGAACAGTTCATAAGCATGTTATTTGTTACACCATTCAGAGTCACAGGTAACAGTGGTGGTATTTGGGGTTGACCAAAGCATAGTCACATAATTCCTGCCATAGAATGACATTTAGTCATGCTAATGATGGAGCAATTGAGAATTACTGGCACTTAAAATTAATTACTCTGCAAACATAAAAAGGAAAGGCAGGGAATATACTCATTGCTGCTGCTTGCATCTGAGACTGCTTCTTCAGGGGACGTGACAGGTAATACACCAGTACCAATATATTGTGCTGCTTATGGTGATCCAGTTGCTAAGCAAACGTGCAGGATGTATATGTTAAAACTGCTTCTCTTCAGGGATTGCCCAACAGTCTTTATTCACCTTTGAACTTCTGATTGGTTTGTACTGAAATCTTGGGTCGTCTGGTTAGTTGTCTAGAGAATTGATTATATTAGGAAGCAAGTGGTCTGCTAGTGAAAACCAGTTCTGCTTTCTGTTGGAATTGTTGATTAAGGAAGCCTGGGGAGGTTTTATACTGTTGGATGTAAGGCTTTCTATAGAATTGTTACCAGCACTCACTGTACATAATATAGTGTGTGTAATGTTGGAGCCAGATTTTCTGTCTTGTGTACTACTTGCAGTATGGATGAAGTAGGTTGTATAAATTACAAGCCTTCCCTCCTCCACTGGAGTGCAGTGAATGTCAGATTGAAGCTGTCACGCTGGTGCTTTACAACTCCAGCGACACAGGATCCTAAGATAAACTCAGCCTTCATTTAGGGGAATTTTTAGGCTTTAACAACATGCCATGAAGTGAAGCAGAGAAAATGGAAATGGATTACAGGAAAAGTCTTCTGCGTTCCTTGCTGTTTTCATGCTGTAATATTTATGTCATAGAGGATCTCTCCCAAGCTCTTATTTCAAACTCCCAAAAGCAACATTTTATATGGCTTGACAAAGGTCCCTTTTCACTAACTTCAGGTGACCTGAGGCAGATTAACATGCAGATTAATGTATTTGACAGTAATAAATCAGCTTTAACAAGTACCGAGGCAGAGATTTGTTTGGCAGAGAGTTTGGATAAGATACGGTATCTGGAGTTAAGTTGAACATTTTGTAGAGAATGATATAGTGGAGACGGTTGAAAATTTCCTGCTTTCCTTGGTTTTGTGCTGATGCATCTTTATGGAATTTAGCTGTAACTGTGTGGAGTTAAGTCAACGTTATCTGGGTGAGTGAGCCTACAAAAATGGAAGGATGTTAATTTAGTTATAGGCATGCATTTTGTCATCCAATGTGTTGTAAATGTTTACAAGCTGCTGCATAGGACACATACACTTTGGATTTTTTTCCTCTCTATGTAAATTTATTATCTAATTTTTAGTTTTCTTGGAGAAACAGCTTTCATGTTGATTACACATCTTTCTTGTAGCAATCTTGGACTGTAACCTTCCTAAGGTTGAATACAAGCATCAAGAACCAGGGAAGAATTTGAGGTGAGAGAAGTTGGTCTGTGCTTCCTCACAGGTAGCACAGCTATTTGTGAGAGAGCAGTAACAAATTAGAGTCAGGAATACTTGGTGTGCTGGGGAAAATTATTGCAGTGTTTTAGATAACTGCTGTGTGCTACTCCATGTGGAATGTACAAGATATTTGTTTCATTGCTCTATCTTGTACTTCTCAAAAATGAAGCTTACAATGAATTTGGATATTTCTGTAACAGGGTGAGGGTTTGACAAGTGGGGCTTCCAAATTGGAGTTGATTGTTGAGGTGAGCTGCAGGAAAATATAAACCAGTCACAGACAGGACTGGAAGATGTAATTCTTTTCCCCTTCAGGAGATAAACTGTAGCAGTGAATTGTTGAAGGGTTTATTTTGTTTGTTTTTCAGTTTTGTGAATTTGGGTTTTGGGTTTTTTTGTATGGAGTGGGGTTTTTTAGGTTAGTTTTTTCTTTTCCATTTGCACCTACTGTTCTGACTTTTGTCAGTGGAAATCAATGACATCAGATTGCTGTGTGACAGTTTAAACACACTCCCTGACAGAAGCTAAAAATCATAGTTAATAGATTTTATCTAATCCGTATGTAAGACAAAAATTAGGACACACTGAGTGTTTTGATTTCTTTAAGTCAAATTTCATCAAAACTTGAAATTCCAGAAGAGCTATAACATAAAGTAGTAAAACTATCTCTGGCTCAGGATTCTGCCTTCATTGTGGAGTTGCTGCTTAGGCTTCTGCCCTTGAGACTCTCAGAGTAGCCTCTTGTGTGCAGTCCAAGCAGGCTGTGTGACACCCACCTGTGTGCACTGAGCCCTGCTGCAGAAACATCTTCATGTTCTTGTGCTTCACTTGCTCAGTTTTCTCGTCCCTGTGTGTCACCCATGCTCAAGTGACAAGACCTCGCTGAAGCAGAGAGACCGAGAAGCTTTGGGCTGGCTGTGCTCAGCAGGTTCTGTGTGTCCCTGGTGCTGAGGTGATGGGGAGTGGGAGAGTTGTGCCCTGGCTGTGGCATGGCACGGGTCACTGATGTGTCCCTGGCTGCTGGATGAAATTCTGACCTGTAGGTGCCAAATGTGCCAGATTGCAGCACCTCCAGCTGAGCCTTTGACTGTGCTCTGTCCCTGACCTTTCTAGTTGTACCCTTTGAGTCTGAAGCCTGGCCAAGCTGCAGGGCCACCTACCAGTCCCAGCCAAGCTGACCATTCAGGGGAGGAGGCAGAAACCTGGCAGCCATGGGGTTTTTCTGTCCCCTTGTCCTCTTATGTAAGTCTCTGGCCAGAGCCTCCCAGGGCAATGCGTGCTGGCTTTTTGGATGCCTTTGGGGAGCTGTTGGTTTTCTTAGGGTGGTTTGCCTAGTCTGC